CTATCGTCTGTACAGTATTATATATAAATTAGGTACTGTACATATAATTATATACTGATTATATATAAATTAGGTACTGTATATATAATTATATATTAACTTAATTTATTGTAACTTTATTATGATTATATATATGCTTTCCGCCGCCTAGCGCTACGCTATGGAGAGTTTAGGCTAGTAAGTTGAGTTTATTATCGTCTGTACAGTATGTAAATTAGGTACCGTAAGTCTACTACAGTACTGTAATTTTATACATTTCTTGTGAAAGAAACATTTCTTATTCAACGACCATAAAAATTATTTATACTAATGATGTCTCCAAAGGTCAACGAATTTTTCTCAGAAAAATAACTTATCAGAAATCGCGGCCGCCGTTTGGTGCGCTGCTCCGCGACGAAAACAACTTAAGCAATGGCGACGTCGAACGGTGCACACTCGGTAAGTAATCCTGCAATTTTTTGTTTATAGCATAGTTTATACGGATTATTCCCAAAAAATTATACGTGTTTTGGAAATATTGAGTCGAATTAGTCTAGAATCGATTAATTTTATGGAAGAAAAACTTTCAAACAGCCGTAGTCCGTAAACTTCACACGTGTCGGGCTGTGATTGGCTCACGTATTTAAGGATTCCTACAACGTGAAATTCGTATAACGTGAAACGTAGCTACGCGTTATAGGGGGGTCTACTGAATTGATATTTGTATTCATTTACAATTTTCATATTTTGATTATCGATGAATCATTTATTATTTTTGAATTGAATTGAAATAATAAAGATTATAACGAGCAATTCTGTATTGTGACATCGTCTGTCCTTCCTTAATCAAGAGAACAAAGTTAGACAGATGAAGGATGAGATCAGATATGGAAACCATATGGTAGAATATCCCGATTAACAATATAAGAACTTTCAGTTAAAACTAGAAATTACGTTATTTTAATTCAAAATTTTCCCGTAAAAGGTGCTAGATAGATGACCGGCACGACTCTGTTGTTAAAGGAAAAGTATGATGTACAGGGGCAAGCCACTACTAATTTGAAACAGAGAGTTCATATTTTAAATTAAACAAATTAAAAATATGATTAAAAACTACAGCCCGGTATTGTGATGATGTCACAATAAATAATTTCTCGTTATTGTGATGTTATTACAATTCCGGGCTGAAATTTTAAATCATATTTTAAATTAAAAAATTATCTGACTTCCGATTTAGATCAAAAGTTCATATATACTTAATCGGGGCTTCTGGTCCCTAAACTTTCCATATCTGGTCTCGATTTTCATCAATCTAACTCCTTTGTCTAGATTAATGGATAACAATAGGAATCTATAGATCTACAGTTTGAAAAGTACAGTCCAATAAGTAAATCAAATGGACGTTAATTTGCAGCATTACTTTTGTTTTAACAAATATAGTCTATAAATAATATGAATTATTTATATAATACTCATCCGAAAACTTCTAATTTTAAAAATATGACATTCACGAATCAAATTTATAAAACTAAATAAAATTTTTGTCTGTCTTTTTGCTCTACATCTCAGTAAACTTTCTTTTTCTTTTAATAAACTGCAGTTAAAATATTTAATGTTTACGAAATTCCCCTCGAAAGATCCATTAATTTTTATAAGAAATATATAGTGTAGTATTATAAACATTTATATGTTATTGCCTACAGAATAAAATTATTTATAGCATTTAATATAATATATTTAAGATCACGAATCTTTTTGTAAAGTAGAAAATATTTTTGAAATATTTAAAACATTTGTTTTTGTAGATTCTTAAAATTTTGTGATTTAATATATACTGTATATATTAAATTTATTTTAATTAAATATTATTAAATTTAACTGTATATTATTCCCCATTTTTTTCAGTTGACAAAAATTCCCTATTTTGGGGAAAAAAACCAGTACCTAATCTGGCAACTATTTCCAGTACTTCTGGTTTAATTTACCACAGCAAAAGAATAAGAAAGAATAAGACGTAGAATATTAAATTTAACACTATATATATACAGTTAAATTAGGTACTGGTGTTTTCCCCCAAAATAGGGAATTTTTGTCAACTGGAAAAAATAGGGAAGAGGTATTAATGGAGAAATTTTATAGGGAAATTTATACGAAGAGGAAATTGGAGAATATAAAATTTTTTATTTAACGATAATTTAACTAAATATTACTAAAACAATTACTTTTTTTAAACTTTTGATTACATACTATGTATTAACTTGCATAAATGGAGAAATTTTCAATTAAATTTAAAATATCTACAGTTCTATCAGTATGCTATTATGATTTTACATCCTGATATAACTAAAGATACTTCTTACTTTTTTTATGCTGTATAATCAAATTAACTTTGCCTTTAATCTCACATATATACAATAAATGAGCAGAATTAATAAATATTTGTTTTCATCTTATAAAATCTAGCAACGAGTTGCCTAACTTTCCCGACTAAAAAAAAAACATTTAAAATTACATGTGACGCCATCTGTTACAAGATTTTATCTGTAAAACTTTTATGTTATTAATTATTATAAAATGGCAAAAAAAAACTTAATTTTGAAGATAGGGGTGAGTTTTATAAAAATTGTAAATGCTAATAACGAGTAAAATCTTCATTGAGTCCAACCCAGTCGATATATGTATGACACATGATTTTCTCTATCTCACCACCACCTTCACCTTTAACCATTAAAATTTAACAGCTTCGATTTCCCTATTACATAAATCTTCCTGCAAAATTTTGGAAATATTCGACAAAAAACACAAGAGTTATTACACTTCAAATTGAGCGAACAAATTCTTGCCTCCCTCACACGTACAAACATCCATAAATACAGAAAAACTCCCAAATTTTCTTTTTATTTCTCGACGTCTCGCGGTCCCTGAGCCTAAAAATGTAAAAATCTTGAAGGTCATTTTACAATAATATTTATTGAAAAAATTGTAGACCTATAAATTCCCATTGTTGTCTGTTCGTCTGTCTTTCCTTAACCTAGAGAACGGAGTTAGATAGATGAAAACCAGATCAGTTATGGAAAGCTTATGGGCAACAGGGCCCGATTGATATATGTTTAAACTGTAGTGAATCTGTAAGACTACGGTATATCAAGACCAAAATCAGTCGTAATTGTAATGGAAAAAGGGAAATAAATTATACTAAGGGTTTTAAGACAATCCAAATGTGAACAAAAATTAAGGAATAAAAATTATTCAAGTATATCATACAGATGTGGTAGACACAGAAGAAAAAAAAAGGTAACCACAACCACAAAGAAGACAAAATGCCTATTTTCAAGGTTTTCTTCCTGGACTTGTAATAGTACTGTATTGTTACAGACGTAGATATAACTTATAATTACTGTACTTCTAAGTATTGTTGGTAATAGTCACCATAGACTCTGCTTTTGTATTATCCAATTGAAAAGGGTCAGTAAGGCCAAAATGCATTTTGGAATGTAACCCATTCCAAAATTACATACACTAGGAGTATAATAAGCAAAGTAGTACAATATTATTCAAATATAGCTTATAAAACATAACATATTCAGAACTTTGTGGAAAAAAAATATATATATTTTTTCCACAAAGTTCTCAATATATATTATTAAGTTAATTTAT